AAACAAATAGAATGGGATTAAGTTTCGGAATACATAGGACCTGATAGAAAGCTAATGCATCGGATGTGACAGAAAGCTATACTTCTTTTTAACCGATAAGAATGCAATTACAAATGTCTTAACAATTGCAGAATGACCAAGTAAAATGTGCAAAACCCACACGAACACTTGATAATGAATGGACAAGGCTGTGATTAATAGGAATCTTTATAATAGAATCTGTCATGTTGTTGTGTTGCACACACTTACTGCACTCATGTGAAACATTTTCTGAATTTTGTGCCCTTTTGTAATTTCTGCACAGTCCATCATTTTTAAAAGTTTTTGTTGTGACTCTTATCCAGTAATTCTTCAAATTATCACTTGATTTATAATAGATTTAAACAGAATATTGTTATTTTGATCCTTAATAACTTCATAATTCTTAAAAATTCTTGTTCCCATCTTTGTAAGTTTTCTGTTAAAACAACATTTAATGTATTTATTAAAGGAAATAATATCTGGATCTTCACAGAAGATGAGTGCAAAAAGAAAGAAAATACTTCATCTCCGACGATAAACATGAAAAAGTATTCATGAGGTATTCATTCAATACGCAGCCAAAATAGTTATTTGGTAACTCATTATTCCACTGAATGTATTTATGCGGCAACCAAAGTAGCACATGTCTGTTTTAGTTGATAATTCAATGGATGCAGAATTTGCACAATTCTCTGATGCTTTTTTAGTAAATACAAATCGTTGTAAACTCAGGGAAAACACTGCAAAAAAAGAAGAATTTCTTGAAAAAAGGAAAATGTTTTATTATTGATGTTTCTTGCCTTTTTTAACTTTATCAACAGACTGCTGTTGAAAGGAATTCTTATTAAGCCCTCATTTTGAAACTTTTGTGTATTAACTCAAAGAAAACGCAGTTGTCAACATGTTCACATCTATTCAGTGGGCCTGCAAATAATCAGAAAATATCAGAAAGGACTATTTTATCAAGTATAAGAAAGCAATCCTAGAGAACTTCCAGGATATGAATTATAGTTTTCTGAAAAGAGATGATACATTTCAAAAAATGGCCACAAAATTATGATTAACCTCAGTTAACATGTGGACAAGGGAAATGCTAAGACTAAGTGTGGATAGAGTCTGCAACTGTTATTTTCTGGGTTGCAAGATCATCTGTGAATGGACTACAGAAAAAAGAGCAAAAGTTCTGAGCATCACATTCAAGCATTTATTCTTGCAATTGTACTGTAGATATATTCCCTGAATAAAGCATCATAACAGAGGACAGACAGCTCCTTTCAACAATACTAACTTAACTGTCTTTAAAAAGATAACAGTATTCAAGTTAAAAGATATTGAAGCTATTCAATGTGCACTTGCCCTTAAGTCGACCACATCAAATTTTTTAAATGAAATTTCTTTCTAACATGATTTCTACATATAAAATTGCAATGTTCTTAGATCAAAAATCTCAAAAGACATTTCATCAGCAGGAAGTCTTGCCAATCTATACCCTCCCCTTAATTCCACACATATATGTGGTTACCTGTATTTTGAATACTCACCTGAATGGAAAGAAAGACTTGCCTCTAATTATCACTATTCTTAGCAACGAATACAAGATAGATAGGTAAGACTGAACAAGTTTCAAGCACTATTTGTTCTACGAGGTGACCAAATAGGTCTGGTAATCTGGGATTTAGCCAAGGACTAACAGCATTTCCTTGAAAAAAAAAAAAAAAAAATTGTATAGAAACGATTGCTTGTCTTTAGACTTCTGATATTACAACAAAAAAAGTCATTCAAGGGCCATTTGCACTTGAAAATCAATAACTACATCGAAAATAGAATAGAGAGAGAATCAGCATGGAAATTTTCTGGTAGTGATGTGGGTGAAGACTTCCGGCATTAACCTTTTAACTGTCATGCCCGAGTTAATCTCGCACAGCACTGGTGTTCGAAAATGTCACGCCCAGGAGTATTACTCGGGGTACATTTTTTTTGAGCGCATTGTATTGTTATACCCGAATATACATCGAAAGACGTTTATTTCCGCTTCATCTCTTTGTCAACGCGACTGTATCTTGGGAAAAGTTAATGAGCGCTCAATTCAATAGATCACAGCACCTTTACTGAAGATTTCAAAGTTTAAAGGTTATAAGTTCTTTGGTTCAAAGTGCACAGGATCTTTTTGTTGTAAAATGGCGTCCAGTTCTTTGAAACGTTATATAGATGATTTAGATTCTTCAACCGAAGATGAAAGATGTGTGTCTGATGTGCAGTATTCATGATATTTCCATGGTCAGACTCAAAAAAAAAAAAAAAAAAAAAAAAAAAAAAGATATACTCAAGCCGAAGATTGTTTCTGACTACAGTCTAACTATGGGTGGTGTAGATCGCTGTGATCAGGAAATATCCTTTCATCCAAAAATCCGAAAACGTCAGAAAAAATATTATAAAAAGATTTTTACATTTACTAGACAAGGTACTTTGGAACTCATATTTACTCTATAAAAATGTATTTGGGAAACGTATTACATTTTTAGAATTTTCGAATCCAAGTTTGTAGAAGACTTTTACATAAATATGATGATGCAGCTTCTGGACAAAAGAAGTTGGCAGAACACCTACAATAGATAACCCTGCCCAGCTTACTGAACGACATTTTATTTCCTGTATTCCTTCTACTCCTGTGAAACGTGAGCCTACAAACAGTGCAAAGTGTGTTATTTGAAAAAGGATAAAATGGGAAAAGATAAGGAAGGAAACACGGTTTGGTGTAGTGATTGTGGAGTTGGTTTTGTGCTTGGAAAAGTTTTTCTAGTTGTACCACACAAGACGTGAATTACTGAACTACTAATACGTATTCACTTTTCTTTATTTTTCATTTATTTTTTTTTAGAAAATAATTCATTTTCTTTCATTTTTATAAAATAATAATGCTCTACTAGAAGCGAACTTTACAACTGCCATGTTGAGTGGCAGCCGCCTCAAGCAAATACGTAGTGGCTACAAAACTTCAAAAATTTTACCCATATACTTCAAAATATCAATTTTTAACTACCTAAGTATATTTTATTTTGTACTAAACATTTGAAAAAAATTTGACAATTTGTGTACCCAAATCATCAAAATAACTCGACAGTTAAAGGGTTAAAATCACCAATAGCTGTATTGCCACTGCAGACTACATGATCAAGGAGGGCTTATTTAGGAATAGATCTATTGCTAGATATGAGATTATGACCAATGGTTCTACAGGAAATAGAAATGCAAGAAATTCAGATCTGAATTTGGGACTTGAGTTTTATGAAAATGATCCTCAGAAAAAGACAACACGTCTGTAATTTTTAACATATGTAAATTTTCTCAGTGAATGACGAATAAATGCAGATGCTTGTACATGAATCTATGAAGTTTCTAGTAAATCAGCAAATGCAAAATGAATAAATGTAAGTAATATTATAGTACCTAGTAAATATATTTTATGCATTGTTGGGTATGAAAAATCTTTTTAAAAAGAGGCCTAATGCATCTTCTTGAGCAAGAATTAATATAAAACTTAGTTTAATTTTGAGGATAATATAGCAGTTAAATTTATAAACATTATCATAAAATTACATTTCCAGATTATTTCTAGATGCAAAAAGTACTTTTTTAATTTACTGAGAAAGAAAGAATCAAAATACTCAGAAATGCATTAAAAAAGCTATTATAATAAAAGGACTTTTAAATTCTGGTAATTTATTTAATATCAGGTTATTTAATTTTGTCAAAGCTTTGAAATATATGCCATAGTGCAGATACGCATTTTACGAACATACACTTTTATTATTACATCAGACAATACAAAATCTTGTTAAAATTATATTAAAGAATGGAATGCTATGTGATTAGAACATTATGTTCTGTGATTACCAAACTTTCAGTGTAATGTTAGTTCAATATCATACTCATTAATATTTTAGCCTTTTATTCTTAATACAGCAACAGAACAATTGCATTTTATTGTATAAAAAGGCTAAAATTATGAATATTTTAAACTTATTAGCACAAAGGGGCTTTGTCCCTGAAGGGCTATTGTTTTTGCTATAAATGTCCGTTTCACTTTTCAAACTGTTGCCACCATTTTAAGAAAAAGAAGGAGTCTAAAATGAAAGAATTGAGTGGCAGGTAAACAGAATTTTATAGATCTTTAGTCCAAAGGGGCTTTGTTCCTGAGGGACTATTGTTTTTGTTTTGTGATTTTGCAGTAAAAACTTTAAAAGGCTGTATCACTTTTAAAATCGTTGCCACCATATACTATTGGCCTGAATTATATTTGATGAAATTAAAGAATGAAAAATCTGCATATATGTATATTTCTCACATTGTGATAAAACAATGGTACATAGAACCAACGAATTTTGAATGACATAATACTACTGTGAATATGGGCATGTGGAAGCCAATATTTGAATTTTGTTTTACTATCTATTTCATATTTTGTAAATCTTTAGCAAATTTTTGATTAACAAACTCAAAGACTTCAAAACGAGCAATGGCAACATTGTACAGAAAAAACATTTTTATCTCCAGCGCGTGAGTCTATGTATGAGAAATTCTAAAGATTTGCTCAATTTAAAACTATTTTGCGATATTGCTCTTAAACTGAATTTTATGATCTAAGTGCGAAGAACGTGACATTTAATAAATAAAGGTAACAGACAAAATGTTAAAAAAAAAAAACACCCATTTGAACGTAATTTAAAATCTGAAATCTTTTAGATTTTTATTTATTAATTGTTTTCTTGGTGATTCTTTTTATTCAATGAACTATACGAGTGGCTGAGGGGGGGGAGGAAGAGAGAGAGGAGATGGATAATTGAGTTTTCAATACACACAGTTATTTAAACATGCAGAGATTATACACAGAAAACACAAATCTAAAAAAGACAGGTTTTAATAAGTAGATACAAAATAAAAAGATTTGAAAAAATTTCCTATATAAGCAAATTTTTGTTTCAATCACTTACTTCTGATTCTGTTACACTAACATCTAATCCTCGTACCATCAGAGTATTATTAGGAATCTCTTCCCTCCAATCACGTTCTCGTGACATCATTCTGTCTCGGTCTCGATCTCTTCTATCTTCATCTCGATCATAAGATCGCTCCCGAACGCGATCCCGACCCCTATCCCTCTCACGACTACGATCTCGACCTCTATCGTAATCTCTATCTCTGTCATAACGATCTCTTTCATGACGTCTTGGTCTCCTCTCTTCTTCATCATTATATCCATATGAATCTCTGCGACTGAATTTACGTTCATGAGAGTTTTCTGAGCCACCACCATAGTTATCATTTCGAAAATTTCCACCAAACTGATTCTATAAAATTTAACAATTTCAGATTTAATATTTACATGTATACTTTTGAGAATGAAAACAAAGCTATAGATCATATAACACATGAAATGTGAAAACATACATTGTAATAAAATTTAACTTTAAGACAAAAATAATGAATGCTTAGACTGATGCCAGTTTTTTATTTATTGAAACAAACCCTCCATGAAGGATTAGGTATTACACTTGCTAACAATATACTGAGCAAATTTATGTAAAATGGCTGAAACCAACGCTCTCCCAAACTAATTAAAAAAAAAAAAAAAAAAAAAAAAAAAAAAGCACAATATCTCAAAGTAAACAAAATTTCATCTCTAAAGTCCCCCCCCCCTGAATAATTACAAGCTCTTAATAATGACAAACAGTTACACTACTGAGGATAAAAAACTGTAAAACTGGCAGTTAAATGACACATTATTCATTAAAAGGAATAAAAAATTTTATCTTACTTATATACCAATTATTGGTTTAATAAACAAAATGAATGATTACTATTTGTTTTTTAAATGAATGAAAATAATTTGTTTTTTACCCACTGGTAGATAAGTTTTAAATGTTTAATTGCTCTAGTTTTTAACCATGTTCATGGAAGACTGGTTATGTTAACATATAAATATTCTTGTATGTTACTAGATAACTATATACAGACTAAGTATACAGTATTTCATAAAAATAAAATAATAATAATTTTTCTCAGTTTTGACAGATTATTTGTATTAATGTGATTTTCTTTACAACTTTACATTAATGAAATTCCTTTTCAAAGATACAGCACTCAGGTATTAATAGAGCTGCTTAAGAAAAAATGCTCATCAAGTTCAAACTATTATAAACTGGATGCTTTACAGAATGAATAAATCTAAGATTATTAACATCACCACACCAATCTTTTAGTATCCAAACACATTCGGAGCACTTTTTCCCCTCGAAAACACAGTATGGATACACTATATATAGTTTTTTTCATTTCTTTTTTACAGATATTAATTATGGAATATCAAAGTCTAATATATACTATTATCCTGCACACAATATTAAATATATGTGAAATTTTAAGCAAATTTTAGAACAATTTGAAACATCCCACATGAAAAATTATTGCAGTTATATATAAAAAAGTAATACCATAAATTACATCATTTTATCTAGAGAATGAGGTATAATTTTAAGGATATCTTGAAAAAAAAAAAAAAAAAAAAAAAAAAAAAAAAAAAAAAAAAATTCAGAATATTGAAGTTTTTATATGAGATTTTTCAACAAATTCACAATGTCATTATTTTAATAAGAGGCTGCAATTTCAAAAATATTGAACATATAAATATTCTGGTCTGTCATTCTCTAAATAACTTTATACAGATCAAATATACAATGTTTTATAAAAATAAAATAACAATAATTAGATCTATCTTTGCACCACGTAAGCAGATGCATTTAAAGTTCAAGATGCTATATTCTTATTATTAAATTTTCATCCAGATACTTAAAGCTCCTTAAATCTATAGGTCCCACCTTCCTTTTGCTTAGCTTTATCTGTTTTGGTTTTTAAATTCAGCCTGTTTGTTTTTTCTGGCAATTTTTACTCTGGGTAATGAATGACACTTTGATTCATTTATTTGCTCCATCTCGAGCTTACTAAATCCTTTGATTTCATATACACCATACTGTATATCTATACAATTTAGAATACCTAGTAAATCTCAAAACCCTCTGTTAAATTGTATAATAGCCATATATGCCCCTAATTCCACAGACACATCTATTGGCATAAATTTCCAAAAAATACCATTTAAACTTTTGTTCGCATTTTGTCTTTCCTTATAAGCACTTTTATAAGAGTTTCTGCTCATATAGCTTTTGTATACAGGCTTAAGACTATGAGTAACATTCTTGGGCAGTCCTTTGGATTTGTCTGCATACAACTGATGCAGCTCGCTGATATTTACACCATGTGTCTTGTCCAACTGGACACTGACCATGCATAGGTTATTTTGCACTAAAAGAAAATGTGAAAAAATGGAGCAATTATGGTACTTTCTATTCCTTTAAGTTACATACATTGCTCCTGGTTGTAACTCCATAGTAATTTTGAAGTTTGTCAATAAAGACAAAAAAAGATAGTGAGCATCGTTGATCAGTCAAACAAGACCTTCCCCCCTTTAATTTTCTACACCTGGAACAGCACTTCTGAATATGACCTGTGCATTCATGCTTGCTAACACTATTTAAACATATACCTTTCACATCACAAACCACTTTCAAATTCATCTGTCGATGAGCAACCTTTTAGTTTTAGTCCACTTAATTGCTTTATTAACATCACATTTTACTTCCTTTGTAACCCATTTCAGAAATTTATGTTTACTTCGATTTTTTTCATCTCTCACTAGACTTTTAACTCAAATGTTAGTAAAAATAATCAAAGACTAATATAAATCTAATTCAACCTCGTATGCTAGTGAGAAGCATACGATATCGACATGCAAACAATAAAAATATTGCATTTTATTTGAAGTAATTTCATGTTGCTGCAGAAATTATAGAAAAGGTTCTTTTATTTTCCTCTCTTTTCTCCGCCTTTTAAATTATATATATATATATTTAAAAAAAAAAAAAAAAAAAACTGTTCATGCCCATTTCTGTTCTTTGACTGAAGACTTTCGCCGATTTAAAATGTACATTTCCCATTTTTTCGTGTTTATAAAAATTCTTTCTAATTAACATAGAAACAGACACAGACCTTTTTTGGAAAGCTAAATAATCAATCGATCCAATGAATGAACAAAAGAAAATTGGCATTTTTAGCCAAAATTGGCCTTTCCAATACATGCCGATACTGATTAAATCTAAGATTACTAAGATTACTAAGATCACCACACCAATCTTAAACAAAAAAGGTACTTGTTAGTTGTTCGGTAACTGCCAATATACCATTGAATAATCTAATCGATCTATTGATGCTTTACGGTGATGAAATCCAGTTTTTTTTTAAAATTTATTTCTGTCAGATTTTGTTTTCGCATTCACATTTCAAAATGGCATCAAATGGATTAAAATTTTTTTCAGCTTATCTTAACCACAGTATGCATTCTTAATATGTAAGAAGACAAACAATGAGGAACTGTACCACACTGCCACTTATTCCTCCATTTTGCTGATCAAAATTATGTTTCTATTGTTTGCATGTAAATGCAATCTCAGAATTGAAAATGAGACTGAAATTTAAAAAAGGGGGAGAAGGTATTAAAAAGAAGAGAAAAATAAACAAAAAGCTCAATTTTGTAAAGAATCTGGAAACAATTCTATGGTTGTTAAATTCTCAGAGCTAAAAGAATCAGTGCTATAAATGATATTTTTGGCTATTTATTGGCAGGCACCGAATGCCCAACAAGTACCATAAAAAACAAGTAAATCTTAAGCACAGAACTTACTCTATTAGATGAAGGATTCAGAGGAAGAGGAATTGGACCAGAAAAAATAGCCGGATTTATGTCGGTCTGAAAATGGAAAATATCTTATACTATGACATTCAATTCAGTTGTTAAGAAAATCAGAAATTACTTTAAAAAGCAGACAACTAAAATTTGAGCTAGAAGACCTTTGAAATAGAAAAAATATCATTTTACAATGATAAGCATCACAGAAAGATTAAATACAAAGAAACTGAATGAGAGGGAAAATTTTTAAAAATTAAGGAAAAAACTACTCTTTAAGTTAGAAAGCGATGAAGGTTCAAATAATAAGAATCTGCAATAGTACTTACAGTAAATTGTAGAAGAGGAACTTTTTGCCTTGAACTTCCCATATTGTCAGATATTCCATTACCACCCTAAGAAATAACAGTAATCTTACATACTTTTTAAGACATGAAATTAAATGTTCGAATAATAACTTTGACAGTAGGTGGAAACTTTTAACTCACTGGCGTAAAGTAAAAATGTAAACATCTGGGAATAAATATGTTAATTTTTTTTTTAAATAACTATAAACTGAAGCAAAAAGACCACTTAGAAAAGAGGAAAATAACCAATAAAAGGGATGGGGAATGGTGCTAATTTCCAAGAAATACATAATGGAAGTTAATGATTCAGGTGTTATAAATATGTTAAAAAATTCAAACCAGCTATAAACTGAGATGTGAAATAGCAACAAATACCAAAGCAAGAAGACCACATAGGAAAAAGGAAAATTACCAGTGAAAGGGATGGGAATGCTACTCAATTCCAAGAAATACATAACAGAGGTTAATGATTCAGGTGTTATAAATATGTTTAAGAAATTCAAAATACCTATAAACCGAGATGTCAAATAGCAAAAATACCAAAGCAAGACAACCACATAGGAAAGAGGAAAATTACCAATAAAAGGGATGGGGGAATGAATTCCAAAAAAATATATAAGAGGTAAATGTTCATGCGTTTTTACTGCAAGATCAAAACCATAAATCATACAAAATTCTAAGAAGATAAATTAAACATTCTTCAGACATGGAAGTACATGCAAATATATGTGATGATTTGCAAGTTAACACAAACACAAAGCAGCATTCATGGTCAATTGAACACATTTCTTTCCAGGACAAAACAATCCTTAAGAAACTTATTCTTAACTTGATTTACATAGCAGCAATGGCATATTCTGTATGATCAATCTTGATCACATTTTTGCCTTTTTATATCAATATGACAGTACAAGTGACCAAACAGAAGTAAATGGCGACATGTTGGCAGAACACGCATGAGCAGGAATGCTATGTGTCTAAGATGAACACACAATTCAGAATGAGAGTTTCAGTTTAACTTTATCCTGATTGGTTAATATTAAGATTCGGTTCTCAAAATCTGAAAACATTACTGACTGAAATATTATGCAAGCTAGCTTTACCCGCAGCTTCACTCACTTTGATGTCCTTAAAATAAGTTTCAACTCCGCGTGAATTTAAGAAATATACTCCGCGTAAAATTTCACTAAATACCATCCTTCTTCAAGACCTATAGGCCGCAGATATTTTGTATTTACACTTGACCAAAGAGTTATTTATACAAATAAAGAACATTCAAGCACCTTAAAATCATAAAAATGATAGCTGTTATCGTACACAGTAAAATGTAAAAAATATAAAATGTAAATGCAATTTTTCAAGCAACAATAACAGAAATATATAACATGAATGAATAGATCCATCATGTCATTTTTTGATGGTAAGATCCCACAACTTTGAAAATGATATATTATTTATTGTTCTGTTGAAGAAAAATTCCAAATTTTAATCATGTTTTTCAAGAAACAAGAAAAAATATGGTGAAAAGTTTATTTATATCCTTATTCATGAAAGTAAAAAGTGATAATATGTACCATCTGCTTTACCAGGGAATGTGTGACAGATAAGCCTAATTAGCATAATCCAAGCCACAGTGATCAAACAGTTTCTGATATGCAAAGCAAAGTGCTACGTCATCTGAAAGTGAATCAAGCACTTTGTGAGAAATTAATATTTGAGTAAATTTCTGCAACACAGCATTTGGGAAAACTCAGATAAGCGGCACTTAGTGCGATTTTTTCCACCATCTTGAATCACGAAAAATCGCCATATCCTCGGGAGGAAATTTTTGATGCCAAGAGGGAAATAGCATCAAAAGGCACTTTCCGAAAATTCCCTCTTCAGCCCAACATCGGGGGGAAAGCTCTGCTGCGCGAAAATCGTGTAAGGCAACGCGTAGCATTTGCATTGAGATGATATACCATTTACATAACAAATTGTAAAAGATTAGTTATTGTTGTGATTAAGAAAATCTACATACTTTTTTCATCTTAGTATTTTATAATTATGATATACAGAACAAAGTCCGAAATTCAGACATCCATTATCCGGAATGATCTAAAATCTGGACCTCAAAATCACCAAAAATGTTTTTCAACAACATTTATGCATTTGCATTTAATCCCCCCCCCGTGCATAATAAAACATCTGGAAAGTTCTGATTCTTAATTTCCCTTTGACACTAAATAAAATACCTTGTTATTGAAGACACAATCATTTTAGCATAAAATTGTAAGATCAGTAATTTGGCTCTGTTGCTGCGTATCTCAAACCAAAACATTCCACATAGACACATCGTTCATTTGACGCCAACCTGGCGAATCATTATTTATTATACTTTCCTTTCATCACCGCATGCTTATCAAAACATGACAACTTGGATAATGACTCATGTAGCAATGCCTAAGCAATTTTTTATGTTAGTAATTGAATAATAAAGGAGTATGGTAACCTTTTATGTTGGCATTACGCTTGGCGATACAGATTTTTGTTAAATGCGCTAAAAATAGATTTTGTTGATGATACTCATAGACCCAAAGATTACATTTAGGGCTATTTGAATTAGGAATAACTGATTTGTTATTCACATAAACCCAGAACCAGCGCCAGGTCTCGGTATGGCTGCAGAATTTAGGACCCACTGAGGCTGCATCAGGCGGTAAGATATCTAGCAGCTGCACTTAATAAGGGCTTAAGTATATGTGGAAATTTATTTATTCAGATCTGTGCAAGAAATAGACATAAGTATAATGAATAACTAATACAATTTAGGCTTAATTGTCACAATGCGCGATAGAAGCAAGATAAAATTTAATGGAACAACCTGTCGTTAGTCGCCAAGCTCATGAAGCATAGCCAAATATGTATGTCAAAATAAATGCACAAGGAAAAGACGGAACATTGTAGATGCGTGATTAGACCCATACTGAAGAAGAATTTGATAGCGTAGTATTTAAAGAACTTGGCAGTCGAGGCAGTTTTAATTCCATTTTTATTTCCAATTGATATTTGTGGCCACAATCACTTGGCACTCTAGTAATGCCTTTCCACAGAAGATTTACATTTTTGATATTGTTGGGATAGAAAGCAAGCCAGCGAAATTACATCTTAGGACAGTAGAGAGCAAAAGCTGAAGTGCGTCGTTATGAAAGATGGAAGCACGCGAAGAGAAAAGTTTTGGTTTACAATTCGGTGATTGGTCGTCAAGAGGCATCTGGTATTAACGGTTACGTAAGATCGCATGATTAATTTGAATGACGCAATGCAGATAAGTTATTACGATTTTAGAATAGAGAGGAAGAATTAATGTTTATAGTTATATTATAATTCTGATTCATACATTGTTATCTTACATATTTCCCCCCTTCAAAAAGAAAAATTTTCCAATGTGCATTACATTTAATTACAAGTTAATTGTTATAATAAAAGCAAAGGAACTGACGGAACACTGTAGATGCGTGATTAGACCCATACTGAAGAAGAATTTTGATTGCGTAGTATTTAAAGAGCTTGGCAGTCGAGGCAGTTTTAATTCCATTTTTATTTCCAATTGATATTTGTGGCCACAATCACTTGGCACTCTAGTTGTGCCTTTCCACAGAAGATTTACATTTTTGATATTGTTGGGATAGAAAGCAAGCCAGCGAAATTACATCTTAGCACAGTAGAGAGCAGAAGCTGAAGTGCGTTGTTATGAAAGATGGAAGCACGCGAAGAGAAAAGTTTTGGTTTACAATTCGGTGATTGGTCGTCAAGAGGCATCTGGTATTAACGGTTACGTAAGATCGCATGATTAATTTGAATGACGCAATGCAGATAAGTTATTACGATTTTAGAATAGAGAGGAAGAATTAATGTTTATAGTTATTTATAATTCTGATTCATACATTGTTATCTTACATGTATATAGTGAACGATAATTAAATTTGATAATGATAGCCGCTAATTTTAAAGGTTTTGGGATATTGTAAAACAAAGGTGATATTTTCCAATTAACGGATTTTGTAAAGAAATGTGGAGAAGCGATAATAAATTAAGATGATATAAAAGATGTTTTTCATTGTGATGACAATGCTTCTCAATCCTCAATCAATTATTGAATGATGAAATCTGTAGTGTAGTTCTAGATCCAGAAGAAAGTGACAGAGAAGTTACTGAAAACGAAAAAAATTTCGATTGACAAGTTAGTCGGAACGCAGTTACAGGACTTCAACAATGTAACTGAACAAGAGATTATGCCTGTCTACAGAATTAAACAGAAAGTATTAGCACAAAAAACTAAACTTAAACAACTTACATTGAAAGAAATGTTTAATAAGGGAAACAAATAAATATTAAGCTTTTTTTGTAAGTTTTGATATCCTTTACATCATAAATACTTCATTATTTTATTAATCATGATTTCATATTTTAATTTTATAATTTCTACATGCCATCTTACTAAATTTAAACTGATGATCTACTATCCAGAAAAATTCCAAATCCGGAATCACCGAAGTCCCAACGAGTCCGGATTTCGGACTTTGTACTGTATTCAGATACATGAATTCAAAGAAATGCCATTAGTAAGAATTTTTAAGAAATTATATTAAATGACATTAATCATCTGCCATTAAAGCCCAAAAGGAAGCTGTTGAGCTACTGAGTGACACAAAACTTGAGTTTCCACAAAAATCTTTGACTGAATTTCCCACAATTTTTAAAACCGAATTAAATTTCTTTCTGCCACATACTAATGTGAACCACTTCAGCTTTAATGCTTATTAAATACAAATATAATTCAATGTTAAAAATATTGATGCTTTCTATCTACAAGGGTCAAATACTGCACAAGATTTATTCTTCTGTCATGCAGGGGGAAGAGGGAAAAAAAAAAAAAAAAAAAAAAAAAAACCTCCATGTTGTTAAACTGTGAGTTTCTATCATTAATTTCTGTATACTTGAAACAAATCCTAAAACTACTTTCATGTGTACGCTGTTTTGTACACATGAAAGTTTGGGCTTTAATCTGCCATTAA